CATAATATGATTATTATATTGCCTATAATTAAACTTTACCTTTTATCTATAACTGTTTATCTTTTTTTAATTTTAAAATTACTAAAATCAATATTATAGTTATAGTACTATACTATTGAGAATATTAAAAATATTGACGCGAGTTCGATACATTTTAAGAGTAAACGTAAATTTGATGGCTGTTTTTTTTTTTACCGTTCTTGAAATCAAATAATCTCTCATTTAAAACGGTTTTACAAGCCTAATAACATCTATTTAAGTAATAAAATAATAAAGTAAGACCAAAATTATTAAATGGTTAGTACTTGTCAATAAATAAAATAAATAAATACATACATTTTATATTTTTTATTTTTTATATCATAATTTCCATAATTTCATAAATCATGAAAATTGTATACTGTGAAACATATTAACGCGATGTTGAGTTTTTTATTTCCATTAATCTTATGTATTTTAAATATCATGTTCCTAACCTTATAAATTATACAAATTTGATCCGTCCTTACTACTCGTAGTCTATTATTAGTAGTATACAACCAGTATTATCATAAATAATACTACAGGCTCATTAAAATATTAATATATACTCGTATTTATATTTCATATATGGTATACTCATACTAGTTGTTTTTTTTTTTTTTGTTTTTGTATATTCATTTAATTTTTAATTTATCCGATTTACATAAATTTATTTTACATAATTACATAATTACATAATTTTTTACCAGTAAATACCATATACCTAAATTAATAGAGAATGGTTAGCAACATTCATGTGATGGCATAGCACGCAAATAATTTTCCATTAATCCCTTCTACCAAAACTTATAAGTAGAAAATTGCATTTTATATTAATATACAAGCTATTTATACATTTATGGATGTAGAATTTATCAGTAAAAAATTGTCTGGTAAATCAGGTAAATTTTTTATTAGAAATAAAATAAATATTAATATATTAATGAGCATGGAGTATTATTTATTGTTATTGCTATTATTTTTTTTAATAAAACAACTGATTATTTTTTAGCCTTTAAAAAACATAAATATACAAAGTTCATAATAAATGCAAAATATACTGTTTGTAGATTACTAATAGTAGTATAATTAACTACTTGTTTGATTGATTGTCAAACAATTTGTTGAAAAAAGTTAAATCTTTCCGAGATAGTGAGTTTAACCACTTAAATGAACTACGTATTAAATTTAATTAAAAATTGTTTTTTTAAATGTATGCGCAATATTTGATATAGATATACAGTAGTATAGGTGTAGTAATTGATAATAGTATTTGATAAAGGTATTATTTTTTTATTTTCTATAATTATTATGTCTAGTATGATTATTACCAAATAAATTAATAACGATACTAAACAATATCAGAATAATTGTCTGATTGATCCAATCTTTATTATCCAAATACATTTATCAAATAAAAGTTCTTGCAGTATATCTGATAGGTATCTATATTATACATGGTAAAATTCATGGGTAAAAATGAATAGACTCTGATTAATCAAACAATCAATCAAACAAGTGTAATGACAACGCTAATAAATACCTACAACACTAGTCTTGTTGAGAATAGATACAGTAGATAGTTATAATAAAATATAATTTAATTTAATTTTAAATGTAAAATATTTTATAGATACCAATGCACAATTTAATATGGGAAGTGAGTAATAAATTTTCAAACTAAAATATATTATTTAACAGAACAGAGACATAGTTAAACGTTCAGGCACGTGAATCTGGCACCATAAAGTTCACAAAACTTAAAAAACCCTACTAACAATCTCTAATCTGACGTGTTGTACATTTTCATAAAATTTTTAGAATTTTCTAGAAAAATAAAGTTATTCACCTTTTAAATTTGTGGTGTCAAGAACATGACCAAACATCACATTTGACTGTGAAGTCCAAAAAACTAGCATCATGAACTAGCAAGTGATAGGTATACAATTTATTATCCTTCCTTATTTTTCCAATTTAAACTTTAAACTGTTTTAAGTTATAAAAGGTAAATCTGATATAAGTGTAATACATATCAAATTATCTAGACAAAATATTCTATATTTTAATCTGTGATTGAAAAGGGGACGCTATTTAAAAAATCCTAAGTAGATACTCATTTAAATAATAAGAAGTAAGCCATAGAGGTTGCAATTATAAATAAAGTTTAAATACAGCGTAAACCTAACCATAATGATTAAACAAAAAATAAATTACATTCACTAAAAGTCCTCCAAAAAAATTGTTGATTTATTATAAAAGAAACAACCTTTTATATGTATTGCATGCATAAATGATAATTTGCAGTTTTGATAAATAGAAGCCTTTAAAATATGACACATTATAATATTCAAATAAGCTTGTTGGGCAGTTTATTAAAATTTTTCGTTGAAAACCTGCCATACTTATTGTCTCACATATAATCATGTCATGGTGCCAACTTTTTAGTACCATATTTTATTTTACATACAGAGATTTTGATTTTATTATCAATTTCCAATAAACCAACGTGAATGTTTTTAGATGAGATTTGTTTTAGTTTACAGCCATGTGTAGTGTTGGGTTTATTTTTGACAACAAACATTAAAAGTCAAATAACTTGTTTAACATTTCATTCAAATTTCAGCTGTGTTCAATAAGTGGAATTATAAATTGTTGTAAAGTTTTTCTAAGTTCTGTGAACTTTGTGTTATTAGCTTTCATGTCATTTTAATTCATATAATTAACAATAACGTTACTATACCTACCTCAAAGCTGGGCAAGTGATTCATTTTTTAAACTAGCTAAAGTTAAGTTAGTTTAATAAAAATTTAACTAAGTTAGAATATAAGTTAGTTTTAAAATTTTCCAAATTTCTTACTTAGTTAGAAGTTAGTTAGGTGAAAATGATAACTTAAGTTAGAGTAGAAATTAGAAATTTTTTTTTTTAATATCAGTAAAAAAACCAGCTCAAATGTAAAGTATTATATTAATTAATTGTTAAGTAGATAACTTAAATGATTGGTGTTGATTGAAAATTAAATTGAATTGATCAAATGTTTCAAATAGGTAGGTAATAACTTTAATTTCTTGAAAATGAATTGGAATATCAGGTATTGGAACATAGAAAGTTTAACAAAATAAGAAATATACAAACTACAAAACAGTGTAACACTATATTTGTCTACATTGACGTAATCATAACAATATAATATAACATAATATTACTTACATTTTATGTATTGTTTATATTATATTTTATTATACAAATAAGCCACAAAGATAATATAACATGCATGTATTATAATAGTCTATAAGCTATAAGCTATATGCCTATAATGCGCCGTAATTACGGTGTATTACCAATTACCATAGACCGCTGAGATAGATAAAAATATATTGAATATAATATACAGTATATTCTTAATTCTTATCTATCTCAGTACCATAGACACATAAAAACAACTAGAATATAGCCGACTACTTAGATCATATACTTATCAGTATATGATCTAAGAGCGACGATAATTTATTATCCAATAATATGACAAAAAAAAAAAATGTTTTTATCGTAAAATTGAAAATACTCAATATTTTACAGAACATTTGGATTTTGAAATAAAAAAAAAATGACTATTTTCTTTTTGTTTTTAACGAGTTAGAATAGAATATTTTCCACATTCAATAAAACCGGTCAAGTTACAAAGTTATTATGAATAAAAGTTAACTAAGTAAATTAGAAAGTTACTTAAAAAGTACTTTCTAACTAGTTAGTGCCCAGCTTTGACCTACTTATTATACTATTATTACGGAATTAGAATAAAATATGAATTTCAATTCCACATGCACGTTGTAATCATATTTTTTCTGCTATAGAATTGCTTGCAATTGAAAACTACTGTCTAGCATATGAGCATAGTAAGTGAAATAAGTTATATGATTTACAAATATATAATAATATAAATTACAGATTATATATTTAAAAAATAAAAAAGTATTTCTATCATAGATATTTTTAATTTTTAGCAAAAACTGATCCAAAAAAATTGGCTATACGTAAGTAACATTTTATAAATTATAATAATAAACTAATTATAACCGAATAATTTCAGTATTAACTTCTTTGTACTACATTATCTTTATTCTATATCCTAATATTATCCCATCGTTATGGCATTGTTATTATTAAAGACCGGATTTAATTGATATTGCAATTTTTTTTGCAATAAAGATAAATCAGATCATTATTAAATATATAATCGATATATACCAAAAATATTCTGCCTATTTATAATGTAATTTTTTGCAATTTTCCCACATTTTTAAATCATAGGCGTTTATCGTTCATCTGGAACTTTCTAGAAACTTGGAGAGCCCAGCGAGCGATAAACATCTGTATATATATATATATATGGTAATTAAATTCAGCGTAGTAGTATACAGCGTAATAGTAATACAGTGATTCATGTGCGTTTACCTGTTGGTACCTTAGTGCATATTTCTTTGATCAGTTTAACCGCATAGTGAATGTATTCAACGTAATGCCTAAAATAAAATCTATTTTTAAAAGTAAAATTTCGAATTGGATTGTTCCTTACAATGAAAATAAAGAAGTGTTTTTATCAAATAGAAAAGTTATATATTGTCTCGTATGTAACAAATCTGTGTCTACTGAACAATAATATCTATTAGATCATCATTCCAAAACAAGTAAGTTTTGTATTTTATACTCATACTAATCGTAATATACTACATATTATTTCAAAAATACATGTATATTTTTGTTAGTTCAACATATTAAATGCATTACAAAAGAATAAAGAAAAAAAATAGCATTCGAATAGTAAAAATGTATTTTTTGAAGATTTATGTAATGCATTTGTTGCTGCAAATATTTCTCTTCATAAGCTGAGTAATCATGTGTTAAAACCATTTTTGGAAAAACAATTCCGGACGAAAGCATTTTAAGAAAAATTTACTTACTAAATATTTATTAAAGCGTTATGGACCAAATAATTAGTGATATTGGAAATAATTACGTTTACATAATTGTTGATGAAACAACCGTTCCAAGAGGTTTGTATAAATATTTTTTTTAATTTCTTATGTAATAAAATATACTATTTTCCTTTAGGTTTAGCTATTGCAAATGTATTAATTGGTAAATTAGATGGGGTACCTAGTAAATCATATTTAGTTGCTTATAAAGAACTAGAATCCACCAATTATAAATATATTTGTCAGTTTATTAATTCCTCATTAAAAATATTTCCTGGTATTGAACAAAAAGTATTACTTTTTATCAGTGATGCTGGTACTTATATGATCAAAGTAGCAAAAACATTAAAAATATTTTGCTCAAAATTAATTCATATTACACGTATGGCACACGCGATTAAAATAGAATTCTAAAATAAATTCGAGAATTGTATCCCAACATTAATTAATTTGACTAAAAACAGTAATATATTAAGTACCTATTTGAAATTTCAATACATACAGTAACTTGTTTCGTTTATTTCAGGAAAAAAAGCTTTCCTAAAAGCACCATCAAGAATAAATAAATACAGAAAAGAAATGCCGGGTATATCTTTATCAACCCTATTATTACGAGATGGGGAACATGGTTCAATGCTGCACTTTTCTATCAAATAATTTTGAAAGATTTAAAAACGTGATTTAAAGTTTAACAGTTGATGCTACAAATGTCGAAAAGCTGAAACAGCTTGTCCAAAATAATGCAGTCAAATGTAGTTTAACATTCATAAAATTACACCTATCTGAGTTATCCATGAATCTTTGAATTTGGGAGAATCGAATAATGAAAAGTATGGATATATTTAGAAAAATTGAAGATATTTTAACGAATATTCCTGGTCCAAAGAGGAAAAAATTAAAGAAAACATTTATGTATGTAATTAAAAAAAAATGAAGGGTATAAAACTTTAAAGTTTTACCATGAAGGCATTTCAGGTAAAGCAACCTGTTAACTTAGATATAACGCCTATTTTATTAAATTGTTTTAAATATGCACCAATAACTAGTGTAGACGTAGAACCTAGTTTTTCTTTATACAAACATATTTGCAGTAATATAATATTTAATTTTAATGAAAATAATTTAAAAATATATCTAATTATCAACTTTAATTTAAAAAGAGTAACATTTATATAAATTTGCATTTTTATAGTACAATATACTATGCAATTTTTACGTACTTTTTTGATGAAATTATATAATTTTAATATTCAATTATTGTGTATTTTAAATGCAATTAAATCTGGTCTTTAGTTATTAATTTGTTGTTTATAGGTTTATTAGGCAAATGTAAATATTATTGTTATCACTTATGATATAACCCCTATATCATCACATATAAAATAAATACATTTGGTTGATAAGTACTTAACTATTGCCAATTGTAAATGATTTTTATTTTTAGGTCTTTATTATTAATATTTGATTTCGAAGACCCCTTTTTTGCCACAAGCTATTGCTTGAAGGAAGGAATCATCAGCTTATTTATATTATATTATTATTTGTATTTTATTATTTTTTTTTTTTTACAATGTATATTATTTTTTAAGTCGATTAACATTTTAGATTCTAAGTGGAGCGAAGAAGCTTATGGTTTTACAAAGATATTTAATTTTTTTTTTTTTCTTTCATCTGTTAACAACTTTTCTAGCAGAAGACTTGTTCGAATTTCTAAATGTAACACCTTTTCTGAAATAAAATCGGTGTGGGGATATATTTCGATTTTTCAATGGTTTTCTCATAAAATTTGAAAAACCGAAAAAAAAATCTGAGAAATGTACGAAACATATTACTATAATATTAAAATTTTTTTTCCTATATACAATTTTTCTACAGGCAATTTTGCTTCAATTTTTAATGACCGCAAAGTTTCTAAAGAAAATTTCAATAAGGAGATACTTTAAAGCGGTCATTTTACGTTTTTTTATAGGAATTTTCTCATCAAATTAAAAAAAATCGGGATAAAACATGAAAAAACCGGGGAAAACGTAGGAAAATTGGGAAAATTGGTACAACATTAAACAAATATTATTAAAGAAAATATATTAAGCCTATTTAATTATTTTACTATAAAATGACATATATATTGTTGACAAATCATCACTATCAACTGAACTCCGCTCAGAATCGTTTTTTCGTAAGCAATGGTTTATCGTTGCTTACAGGTTAAACATACATTAAATTATCAATAACAGCGGCTGCACCCGTCCCCATTCTCCTAGATCTATCTATATAGTTATCTAGGTAATCTATATGTAATTGAATGTATTATAATTAATATATTTTATCTATATGTATAGAATAATATAGTAACTAGGCGTTTCAGCAAACAAAAATGAGGCGAAGCAAAATTATTTTTCATACAAACAATAAATTTAAAGTTTGAAAAAAAAATACTACTTTTTACATACTTCTCCTTGTACAATCTTCTCTCGTTACACCTGCATTTATCCATTTAAGCATTTTCATCTCTGGTACACTCATTCTATATTATAATTTTCTGCCTCTCGTATACCAGTCCAAACCATACATGGTGAGTCTCACAACACTCTTTTAGAACTTACCCTTTGGTTCATTATAATTTCTTTGCCAAATAAAATACTTTTATTTTCACTTTATCCAACTTCACTTAATTTAATGTTACACGTCTTTTCCTTTTGTTTTTACTTTCGTATATGTTCGAGATAGGAAAATTTATCAAAGCCATTAGAATTTTCCTCAAAATATTTGATAACATTTTTACACTGACTGTCAACTCTATTGGTTGCCTTTTTTACTAAGTTGAGTAAGAGTATTTTGATTTCCTTCCACGGGAAGAATTGTGTTATCAATTATATGGTCCACCCTACAGAAACAACACCATATACCTACTAGAATCACCCACTTAGGCATTTCACAAGTACGGGCTCGGGAACTCAGATTCATTAAAACAGTTGCCCCATGAGGTAGATTTCACTTTTAGTTATTTACAATACAATGATGTGCTTAGGGGATCGCGGGTTAAACAATTAAAGAGTTTATTGCGGGTTATAATTTTGGAAATTTGTATTTATTATAAAAGCAGAGTACAAATGTATTTACGATTTGATATAATACGGTAAACATTATGTAAAATAGATACTTAGATTTGCATTAATTTTTAATATAATATAAAAAATTTAAAAATAGTCACACAGAAAAGATTTACGGACATTTTAATATAATTTGTGTAGGTTTTAGATTTAATATATGTAAAAATACGTACTTGAACCTAAATACAACCTAAGCGGTTTTAAGTTTTTTAGCAACTTATTAATGTTTATTGAATTTTCTATAATCAATGTATTTTTACGAATCCATTATCCCTTTCGACATAAACTACCATATAAAAATTCTGAGCACGTAAAGTGATCCAACAGATATTATGTAGACTATGTAGTACTTAAATTATAAGAATTTGTACAAACAAATTTAGTTTATATGTATACATTTAACATATTTTATAATATTATAATAATATTAATAATAGTTTTAATTTTTAGAACAATTGGGAGAAAATACAAGTAAGTTGTATGATATGTTAAGAAAAATCACAATAAATTATATTAAATTTAAAATATTATTTGTACTTTCACAATATTTTTATTCGGTTTTATAAGGATTATTTTAAGCTGTTTAATAATAAAAAAAATATTACCAATGTAGGTACCTATAGCATAGAACAATATAGAAATGATACTACATTAACTGATAAGTTTTTGTTTATCTATGATCTAAAGTCTTAACCTCCGCGAGTTACGAGAAACGACGTCCATGTATAATAGGGTGGAATATTCTTCTATAAAATTGAAAAAAAAAATACGAATATTGTGTATGTAGGGTTTGGATTTGATACTTTATCACTGAAATATTATGGTAATCAAATTATGTATACTATACATATTAAATACATATTACATATTATACAAATATTCATAAAAAAATTACAATCGCTTTATCCTAATGCATAAACCTGATGATAAAACAACGGGAAGCTATAAATATTTGCCGTTTTTCTTATGATTTTGTTTCCAGTTATGTGAAAACGTTTTTTAAAGTCAAAAAATAACTTAATCCACTAAAATGCATCAAAATGTTTTGAAATTTCAATAATAATTGTCATTTTTCGATTGGAGTAAGATTTCTGGTAGAAAATTTGTTTACAGACCGTGCATGAATTAAGATTTACAGAATATCGGACGAATGTGTGATAAGTTAACCTCGAACCTTCACTCTTGGCAAAGCCACTAACACCGTCTAGTATTCTTTTTACAAACTATATCAATATTTATTACAGAATAAATAAGCAATTTATTATACACCCTACTCCTGCAGTTTAAACTTTAAACTGGTTTTAGTTGATTTGTATATCAATTTTGTCTTAAAGCGCTGACTGTCATGCCAAACAGTGAGAAACGGGCGGACTCAGAAAAATATTAATGTGACACCTACTTATTCTGCTTGTAAAAAAACCTAACCTAGAAATAATTATACCGTTAAATTAAATAGCGTGCCTCGTGGAAATGCGAACATTAGAATAGGTGGGCGATCACTTGGTGGAAACCGTCAAGCTTTATTTTTCAAATTACCATATTTAACGAACGGATTTAGTGATTTGTTCATCAAAATGAATTATTTGTTATTTTATTGAATGAAAAAAAATTTAAAAATTGTTTTATTTGTATAGTCCTTGAACTGTATTTAAATAAATAATAATTGAAAAAAAAATATATCACAAAGAAATTGTCATACTTATAATTGTTTACCAACTACATAATATATAACATTTATATAATATTTTTAGTTTTTCCTGCCAAGTATTACGAATATATTCAAACCGAGTTTTCTAAATGTATGCAACAGTTATTATTTAAAATCTATTTTTAGTTTATTAAATTAATTTATACATGATACACGTATTACTTTGTTGATGAGGTTAACCAGTGTCTGACCCACCCGGCTACACGTCGATCGCTGAGGGTATTTTTTAAAATTGGGGGCCCGTAACCAAAACTCAGAAAGGAAAATAATAAAATGGAATACGTTTATAAAATTAAAATCATAATATAACATATATATATATATATATACAGAGTGTAACAGGATTATTATATTGTATATTTATATGTATATAAATATATAGGTATAATACTTTGCATAGGCAAGATCATTTGTAGTTGTAATATATTTTTGAAGTTTATTATTATTATTTATTTTTATAATCAATTTGACAGTGAAAATTATACGTAATCAGTGTGACAAAAATAGACGCACCATAATTTTCCAATATCAATTTAAATACTACGAATTTGCAGTACATACGAAGTGTGGTTATTAAATAACGAGACTGCTCGCCT